ATTCTTAAATTTCATATCGTATCAAATTGTAAAGAAAGTTCCAATATTTTCAAATATATTACATAATTGAAGTTTTCGACACATCTAGAATGAAATATTCCAGGTATCTGAAATAACATCAAATTTCAATAAAATTAAATGTATATATATCATTTACTCCAAACCTCCTTCATTCTTCTACTACTGTCACCACATCCGTCATTATGCAACTTAAACTGATGTAATAATAAATTATAATTCTCTCATAAACGGCCTACTTTATAACCAATTTATGTCATTGAAACCAAAATTGATTTACGCTCGCAGGCAATAATTGATAAGAATAATGAAGTGATTAGTTTTATTCAATGTATTTCTGCAATTGCCGAAATCATTATGATTCTATGAAATTGGTATATAATGATTTCTCAATTTTTGGTACATGATCTAACCATTTCTGTATTATTATATTACTGAGTTTAGTTTAGTTTATATGATTTTACAATATTGGATCGGTTTTTTTTTTGTGATTCCCATGAACGCCGGCAGGATAACTTCCAGGAAGAAGCTAGTCACTGATGTCATTTCTCACACTTTCTACCATTATTAATTATGTATCGAGTATTCTGGACATAGTAATTGGTAACAGATTGAACTGGAATTCATTTGAGAAGAAAGCTTTGTTGTTGAAACCAAAGCCCAAAAACAAAGCACACACGAGCACTACAGGAACATGCTTAAGGCGTTCTTAGAACGGTACCTGTGCGAAAATAGTGATTCACATTGGATTTCAATCGCTGAAAATTAAATCCATTTGGAAAAACGTTCTCAGGAAGTTTATTCCACATAAACACTGTTCTCCAAATGAAAGAGTTCTTAAACAGTGGAGTTCGTGGTGTACTCAGTTGAACCTCATACCGATGAGCAGCCACAATCCGTCGCGTGTTTCTGATATGTACCGGAATCAAATGTGCCAAGTCACTTGAACACTACCCGTGAAAGTATCCAACATTTCTTCGATGTTCCAGACTATCGAAGTTGCAAGTGGAGTTCGCGTCTCCAATCCGGCGGATGGCTCTTTTCAGCATCTTCAGAGTATTTTTGGGGGTGGAGCTCTCCATACATGAGAACAATACTCCAAAGAAGGTCTGATCTGAGCTTTATAAAGTATCAGAAGTGGCTGAGGTGTGTACAGTTTTCTGGTTTGGAACAGTGTTTCAAGCTTTTGAGAAGCAGCCTTTGCAATTCCAGCGACATGATTGTGCCAAACATGGTGGTGTCCATTTTAACTCCCAACAAATGATATTCCAACATCAGACAGTGTGCTGTTTCAGCCCTCTATATGTCTCGTCAGTAGTACTAGGCCTAGGTAGAACCAATCACACGTGCATTGCTAGACTCAACTGTTTGAGAAACTGAAGATGATGACATCTTCTCCTCAAAGATTAACGAGGCTCCTCAAGGTGGTCCATTGCAAAGCTGAGCTTGGCTTTGCAAGGAAGCCTTTACTCTCTCAAGCTTGTCCTTTGAGAACAGTTTACCCTAGAAAAGCATTTGTGGTTCTTCCTGGCATTGCGGTCGACACGGTACAAATAATTTCTTTTGGAGGTCTGTTTTCAGTTAGTTGCCTTGCAGAGAATGGTGTTATGAAAGACAGAGGCTGAATTTCGGCTTAAAAACCTACAGACCACGGCCAGAAAACCCGGAAAATAGCAAAGAGCATTCACACATGGTTAAAAATGTCTGACTGTAATGAGTCTAACTCAATGAGTTGCTGCAGAAACAGTTAGTTTTCCTTAAAATCTGTTTAAAAAAAACTGTTTTTCCGTTAACCAGCTGTCGCACCCCTACGAACGACAACCCTCAGAAGTCGAAACTTGTGCGAGCTAAGGATTAATTACAGTACGACTGAATTCATCGGCATCTAGGGCGTTATATGATTGTTAAACTTTTCTAACTATATTCTCCTTTCTTGTTGCAGGGTCTGCATATACAGTGTTTTCAATGTGTCTCCATACATGGTAGTCCATAGAAGCCATATTGGGGGAACGTGCTGGTTAGAGTTACGGCCCATCATTGGCCATCCACTCATCATAAAATGAATGATCAAGTAATATGCCTACGGTCACGCAATTCTGTTATCCAGTTGGTGCTGAAGAAACAACAAAATGAGTGCCTTATTACGAAACATGCGATGTCCGTCATTGAGGATGACAGTGTTCCATGTAAGTGAAATTTTACCTCTTTCATGTACTATATTGTGTGGCAATCCTGTGAATGATATCTGATTCGATTTCACAACGAATGTTTGGAGTACAAAATGAATAGGAAAAAGTGTTTCGTTTGAATAATTCAATGTTCATAAAAAAAGTGGTGGTTTCAAAAGTATTTTTTTATTCCGTGTAATCAAATATTTATACGAAAGTAGTTATTTCGAAAGAGCTTTTTCTTTCAGTTTGTGTCTGAAATTTACTTCTTTGCATGATCTACACATTTTGGTTAGGAGTTTTTTTCTGAAATTAATATTTTTTTTCTTTTCTTGGAAGATTTCCACATTTTTTGAATAAGGATGGGTGTTCCAACAGGAATTTCCGAACTTCCGCAATTGATAACGGCCATCTTGTTTAAGCTACATCTGTCAGATTAGTTGTCATTTATTCAGTCTGTTTATTGCCAAATCACCACATATAGCATTCAACAACACGTGCAAATGATAATATTGTTTTCCATTTTCATCAACATGTTCTTATATATTATTACTAGTACACGTATTTTACAATTGTGATTTTATACTTAACTGTCAATTTAGTTTTATGTTTGTATGGTTTTATATTAAAATAATATTATATGTCAAAACTGACAACTTCAATATTTATACTTATATTTGTGATTTCATATTATCTAATGTGTTTTTAATTTCATATATTAAGTAGTTTATTTTCATATGCAATTCCCCTTTATGTATAATTCATTCTCATACTTTGATATTTATCATACATTAATTTTTTTTCATCTGGATCTCCTTTTCACCACATACAAGCAAAATCTGATGCTTCTATGGTTTCTACAATGTTTATTCAACTGTATATATTACTTTAGTTATTTCTTTTTGTGATTTGAATCTAAATAAACATTATTATTATTATTATTATTCTTATCAAGATGGGTTCTCTCCGTGCAACGTACCGTGCGCTTCGCCCATTTTACGTTGACTATAATCGTCTTACCAAGAGGACTATTCGAAATGTGGCAGATAAATTTAAGTTCACTGGTTCAGTAAACGATCGCTCAACACCCATACGTCCACGAAAAGTAAGATCTGCCAAAAACATCGCCGCTGTCTGTGAGAGTGTGCAGGAGAATCCGAGACAGTCGATTTCACGTCGCCCACAAGAACTCGGTCTTTCGCAAACCACAATTTGGCAAATTTTGCGTCGTGACTTCGGCCTACACCCGTACAAAATCCAACTGACCCAGGATCTGAAGATATACGACCATGGACAACGACGTGTCTTCGCTGAATGGGCTCTGGAGCAGTTTGCAACTGACTCTAATTTTCATGGAAATATTATTTTCAGCGATGAGGCCCATTTTTGGATGAATGGGTACGCGAATAAACGGAGTTGTCATATCTGGGAAGATACCAATCCACATGAGATCCAAGAGCGTCCAAAGTATTAGGAAAAAGTCACTGGTGTGGATTTTCGGCTGGCGGCGTCATCGGTCCATATTGCTTTGAAAACGACATTGGCCAGGCCATCTCAATGGCGAGCACTATAGGTCGATGATTACCAACTTCTTTTAGCCTGAATTGGATGATCTGGACAGCAACGACATGTTGTAACCACATGTCGTTGGTGTCCAGTTCATCCAATTCAGGCCAAAAAAAGTTGGTAATCATCGACCTATAGTGCTCGCCGTTGTGATCAGGAGATCTTTCAAATGAATAAATAATGTTCATGCTTGTTTGAAGGTGATTGACAATGTTTTATGATGGATTTCATTAGTGAGGACTTCCATTGTTCAATATTATATAAAATGATTCGAAGTCTCTGAAAGAACCAATACAATAGAAAGTTGAAAAAAATAGCTGAAAATAACAATTATATTAAGAAAAAAACCCTGAAAAAAATAACAATGAAATAAAATACAAGTAGAAAATAGAACGATTAAACAAAAAATTTAAATTAAAATTAAGAGATTCCAAGCCAAGTTACTTCACGACGTTTCGATCGTTAGTATTCACAATCGTCTTTTGGTGATGACTGGACTATCGTCAATTGAATAGTCTAGAATTTACTGAAATTTTCTTATTCAATTATTCATCGGAATTCATTTTTTTTTCAAACCAAACAAAATTGACGTGTGAGCTTTTTTAAAATATTATTTATTATAAAAATTCAAAGAATGCTCTAAGCTTTTTTCTCAGATCAATTTTGGGATTGAGAAATATTCTGTATTGAGGATTCTTATGTCATTTCCATTGAGTACTCTTCTCAAAGTATTGAGAATCTCCCGAACGAAGTATTTTTCCATGACCGCCAGTTTTCCAGAGTTAATAAAAACTGTACTTTGGCAACTACCTACCTAATTTAGGATAGAATTGGCCGACACTTGATGATATAATTCATAATTAAATCACAGTAGACAATTTATTCTGAAGTTATCACTAAACGACCATTTAGTTATTTTCGATAGGAAAGTATGCCACAAAACACTATCAGCGGTATATTTCATTATAATAATTTATAATTATTGGATATTGTCATCTCAATATCCTAAATCCATACACAAAACTACCATGATGCTTATTCCCAGAACACCCAGCCATTATCATTCCCTCCGCTAGATGGATCTGCAACTCCATTCTATGAAATGTTTCTGTTACAGCACAAGTCATCCGGGTAAAGCACTCAAGAACAATTCTTGCGGTGAGCGAACCGCGTGTCCTTTACTTCCTTTCACTTCACTTTCCCTCTCTATATCGACACCAAGTCAGACTTGCGCACGCACGCTTCTTAACAATGTTAAAATAAATGCCAAAGTTGGCGAACAGTGTTAATCGAGACACTACCGTCAATTGTTGACTTATTTAAATTTTAGTAATATTTTGATAGGTGTCAGTGATAAGTGCGCGACTCTTCAGAACAGATCTTGTCTCGATTCAAATCTGTGCACTTTCTAATCGTTGATTGTTACCTAATATCTTGACTAGCGCGCAGACAGTATCAACCATTCAGAATCAGTCGGTGAATCAAATTTTCGAAATGTTCGCGGCTACAGAATAGACTCAGTGCGTTTTACATGCCAGAATTTTCGAGTGCTCAGTTATCTGTGATACCTCCATCTCATAGCTCAATCATTGTTGGACGAATCCTGCAGGTAACTAATTTAGTATTCAGCAGATTTTGTTTGATCGAGATATTTTAGAATTCCCACAATTCATGCTCTTATGAAACTGATTCGAAAGTGAACTTGGCTGGTGAAAGGAAACTTAAACGCGAGTTTTGTCGTATTTTAGTAACTGTAGTAGTAATTATGTTATTTCATTTCGAATGATAGGTTTTGATTTTTCGACTAAAGTTGATCTGTATTTGGTAACTACGGTTTATGTAATTTATCAGGATTTGTGGCAGGCAAACACTAGTTACGAAAAATATATTTTTAAAAATGTTAGATTTAAAACTATACAGGAATATGTAATGTGGTCTAATAATCCGACCTATAAACGGAAGTGTTCCGCATAGTGCCCTCTGTGGACCACTTTTTCACTTCTCATAAATTATCTGTTCTTTTAAAATAAGTAGCTGAGAGAAGAAGAAGGGTTGGAACACTGTTCCAAACCAGAAAACTGTTCACACCTCAGCAACTTTTGATGCTTTATAAAGCTCAAATCAGACCTTCTTTGGAGTATTGTTCTCATGTATGAAGCTCTGCCCCCAAACATACGCTGAAGTTGCTGGATTCCATCCAGAAAAGAGCCTGATTGGAGACACGAACATCACATGCAACCTTGATAGCTTGGAACATCGAAGAAAGGTTGTCTCTCTTTTATAGATACTTTCACGGGAAGTGTTCAAGTGACTTAGCGCATTTGATTCCACCAAGAGCGACACATATCAGAAATACACGACGGACTGTTGCTGCTCATCGTTTTGAGGTTCAACTCAGTACACCTCGAACTTCACTGTTTAGGAACTCTTTCATATGGAGAACTGCGTTTATGTGGAATAAACTCCAGCGATTCAAATACAATGTGAATCGCTACTTTCGCACAGGCACCGCTCTGTGAGCGCCTTAAGAATTTTTTTGTAGTACTTGTGTTTCGTCCTTAAAAAATACTCTTTGTGATCTGACGTTAGAATATTCAGATTTCTCAGTAATTTTCTCTAATATCTATAAGTGGCGATTATAAAAATTGAGAAGGGGGGGATGCAGAATGTACGCATGAATTGTTAACTTTGAGGAAACTGAGGAAACCTGATTTTGGTAGATATTATGATTTCGAGAATATCATTTTATTTCTTATCTTAATTATTCCCATTTCGAAATAAAAACTGAAAAATGTTGAGCCATGAAGCTCCAGTAGGTAATGTGTTTTTTGAAACTTATCCACTGCGTCAAATATTCCCTCGCCTAAAAGTGATGGATGATGAGTGTACAATTTTTCATGGAAAATATGAGAGGTTCAATGATCTCTTCAATATGTTCAACATATTCTTCTAAAATATCGATTTTCTGGATAATCTGTACCATTCTTACAAACCCACGCAAGTTTCTCTGTCATAATAGCTAATAAGAACCCAGTGATACACTTTGGTGGGAGTTTGAGGATTGACAAATTTGCTAGATCACTTTTCCACTTCCGTTTCCAAGATTTCAAATGGGATGAATTTATATAGGCTTCACACCATTCACACTTTCCATAATTCTGGGGCTTCTTCTACTGAAACAGAAAAAAGGATCTTCAAGAAACATTCAAATTTCACTAACAGCAATGTCACTCAAGTCGTTTGACCTTACAACTTACGACACTGATTAATTTCCTCATTATGATTTTTCATAGTAATGAAGTTTCATCTACTTTTGAACTTTTGTGAAGAAGGTAAGGTGATTCGAAATATAAAATGAGGAAAGAGGGGCAGAGAGACTTCAATATTAGGGTACAACAGAAACCACCTTGTTAATGTGCTGGATATAGTTAACAAAAACAATCCAAAAAAGAGATTTTTTCAACAACAATTGCTGGATACGTTTCAGTGTTTAGTTACGATGAATAACTCGAATTTACTAGAAATACTTTGAGAATATAATTTCTATCCAAATGATGATCATAGAAGATCAGAGGATCGATCGGAGCTCTTCTGTTGATCAGTGCCGGCTGCTGCTGACGCAATTCTCGGTCGTAGATTTTCTCACAGTCAGATTCTGCTTCTTCTTCTTCTTAATTTTGGACCCAGCTTCCAGATTGTCAGATTCTGCTGTGATGGTTTGGCCCGGTTGCTGAAAGTTATAATAAATCACACCAGCTGTTGACTACCATACAGTAACTATGGTCTTTTTAGATGGGTTTTCGCCTTTGGAAAGTGTCTGAGTAGCTCATCGGTATCCAACCACTGTTCTGAATGTCTCTTGTTATCGTAGAGGATCCACTTTTCATCTCACGTCACGATCCAAATAAAGAAGGATCGTTTTGGTTGCGAAGGTAAAGAAGAACATACCTTGAAACGCGATCATTACTGACGATCGTTCAAATCGTGAGTCACCCACTCTTTGTCTTGGATTACTTTAGATCGACACTTCGGGACTCATCTTTGATGTTAAATTCTCCGGAAAGAAACTTCGCAAACTAATGTCAAACAGTGCGTTCAATAACTATCATTGCCAAATGACTGGTTAATTTTTCGATGTGTTTCGGCAGCATAGATACAATTCGTAAATAAAAATTGGTCAGAAATTGCTTGACGACATCATACAGTAATAAACTGAAAGTAGGCAAAAAAAATAAATTTGTAAAGAGGAGCACCTATGGGTATAGTCCAAAATTCTCTGTTGAAACGGACAAAACTTTTGAAACAACCTATACGAAAGAAAGTTTTTGGCCTTCTACTTCTCCATCTTGACGAAAAGTCGTAAATATGAATGAATTGAGTGTTTTTTTATAATGTTATCCGTATTTGTAAGTGAAATTTTACATATTTCATTGGTAATACTGTGTGGGAATCCGGTGGATGATATCTGATTTAATTCCATTGCATGTTTGGAATACAAACGGAATAGAGAAAAGTGTTTTTCGTATAATTCAGCGTTCATTAAAAAATATTTTTCTTTCTTGTAATTCAATTATATGAAAATAGCTGTTTCGAAAGAAGTTTTCTTTCCTGTTTGTGTCTGACAGTTACTTCTTTGCATGATCTACACATCTTTGTAAAGAGTTTATTTTGGAATTGATTGCTTCCTTTCTTTGGAAGATTTCCACATTTTTTTGTATCAAGATGGAGAAGTAGAAGGTCAAAAACTTTTTTTCCCAAAAACTAATCTCTCCTTAAAATATACCCTTTCAATTTGAACCTATATGACTATTTATTTATTGTCAAAGTATTTTTAGAAGAGTAAAATAAACAAAAGTAGCCTTTGTTGCTCCCAGTGGGCTTCTTGCTCGAATGTCAATAATATTCTATTCATCATCACAAAGATACATATTCACTTGCTTCTTCAAACAAAAATACTGCAAAAATCAACAGATTTTTTATCATATCAAAACGCTTTCTCTGAAATTATTGACGTCACAAATCAGCTGCGTCGTTAATCCGCATTACTAGTCATCGTTGAGTAACGAGTGTTAACGAATTTCATACAATTAAATCAAATTTGAAATATTTTGATATTTGAAAAGAAGTTTTTTGTAGTTTTATTTCACATATCTGACAAAATGGGTACTATACATGACGAATTTTTCACTTCCCTAATCTTCAGTCTCCACGTTTTCATATCGAATGTACAAAGGATGCTCCATATGGGAAACTTATTTATTAAGGGTTTTTCGACAAAAACTAAACATGCACCAACAAAATACAGGACAACACACGTAATATACGAGGAACCTTCAAATATTTGATTTTGTGACAAGAGTAAAGTACTCTTAATTTGAAAAATCTCCGGAAATATTTTTTGAAAAGTTATTTAGCATTAAGTTTTTGGTGCGAAGTCATTTTTATTTTTTGTTAACACCGAAAATTACTAAAAAGCATACAGTATTGTAGCAAGAACTTAACATTCAATAATATCGAATCACAAAACATCAAAATAAAATAGGCATTTCGGAACAAATATCTTGATTTTTCTGGAGATTCAACTCAAAACACTTATTTTGGACAAGAAAATCTCCAGGAAATCAATGAGTATTTTGATGTTTTGTGATTTGATATTATTGAATATTAAGTTTTTGTTACAATACTGTATAATTTTGAGTAATTTTTGGTGATAACAAAAAATAAAAATAACTTCGCACCAAAAACTTTGAAAATTAATTTACTTTTCAAAAAAATTGACCGTGGTTAACACGACAGTTCTATAATTTGTAATATTACAGGCTTTTAAAATGAATCGTTGTATACAGGATGCTGTCTATGTATCGTTTTAGCAAAAATTTGTTCTTTTAGTTCCCATTTAAATAAAATGGGTGCAAAAATAAAACTTCACTTAGATGATTATTATTTCAAATCTAGATGTATTTTTCAATGTTAAATAACTTTTCTCAATAACATTTCCCGAGATTTTTCAAAATAAGAGTACTTTACTCTTGTCACTAAATTAAATATTTGAAGGCTCCTCGTATACTACGTGTGTTTTACTGTATTTTATTGGCGCATGTTTAGTTTTAGAAGATGCACAAACTTTTATCAAGAATAACTTTTTGTCGAAAAATCCTCAATAAATAAGTTTATCATATGGTAAATACTTTGGGGATGACACTATATAGGGTTTTCACACAGGGACTTCCGAACTTTGACAATTCATAACGACCATCTTGTTGAAGATTGATCTGTCAAATTAGTTAACATTTATTCAGTCGGTTTTGCAAACCACCATGGAAGGATATAGCACTCAACCACACTTGCAAAAAATAAAATTGTTTTACCAAAATGGATATTCTGTTCGAGCAACGTACCGCGCGCCTCCGAGACAGTCGATTTAGCGTCGCTCTCTCGGCCTTTAGCAGACCACATTTTCGCGAATTTTGCGCCGTGACTTGGGCCTGCACCTGTACAAAATTCAACTGACCCATGAACTAAAGGTAAAAGATCATAGACAACGACGTGTGTTCGTTGATTCGGATATTGTGGAATTTGGGACTGTACCAATCCACATGAGATCCAAGA